TACCATACCATACCATACCATACCATACCATACCATACCATACCATACCATACCATACCATACCATACCATACCATACCATACCATACCATACCATACCATACCATACCATACCATACCATACCATACCATACCATACCATACCATACCATACCATACCATACCATACCATACCATACCATACCATACCATACCATACCATACCATACCATACCATACCATACCATACCATACCATACCATACCATACCTGTTGATTCTAGGAATCTACGAGGTTGAGCGATCGTATAGTTTCTCGTTTGAATCTTGATGTTCGGAGGCATGCGAAAGGAATAGACTCTGCTTCCTCTCACAATGGAGATGTACTGCTATCTTCACATCGAAGTTTATCTCGGCGTCTTTATCGGAGGGAGAGCGCGAAGGCGCGCGATTCGATTACAAGCGTTTTAAGATTATTGACACTCCCGCACCAAAATGGAACGTTTTTCATTGGGGACACAAAATAGCGATTCAAATGATTCGAAAATATCACAACTGAGATCATTGCATCGAAAAATTGAGCGGGAGGCCGGCTAAGAACATTGTATCGAGATTATTCTGAATTTGCCTGTTCGCGACCTGTGTTCGAAGCAGTCGAGGAATTCATTGCTTGAGATGATTCGGTAGTGGCGACCTCCAGCGGGTACAGGAGTTGAGCCGCACGGCGTGACGTATCACAGTTTGAGCTTGACAGTGTAGATTCTCACGAGGCCGTCTCGGCCAACATGTCTGTCCATTATGCGCACAAGGTCCCATTTCAGCCGGGGACGACTGTCTTCTTTCAGGAGACACACGTCACCGCTTGTGAGGGCCGGAGCGGGTTTGCCCCTGGTCTGATTGGCGGATCGGAGCAACATGAGATATTCCTTCGACCAACGGGAGCACAAACTTCGGAAGTAGCTCGTGGGCATTTTGAGACCTCTCCTGAATTCCTCGGCGGTGCCGAGCTCATCGCTGCGGAGCTGGTCGACGGGCGCAATCTGCGCGAGAGGAGTGACGTTTGGTCCGCCTCGCAGGAATGAGCCAGGCGTCAGAGGTTCCGGTGAATCCGGGTCGCAGGACGAGTATGTGATCGGTCGGTTATTGATGATTGATGACCGCTGCCAGCTCACATAGGATTGTTCGTAGCTCCTCGTAGCCGACAAGGCTACGGCCTAGGGTCTTGTAGAGGCAATTTATGAGGACGCCGACCATTCTCTCATAGAAGCCGCCGTGAGCCGGCGCCCGAGGACATACGAACTTCCAAACGCAGGCCCGCGTCCGGAGCAGCTCCCCGACGTCACGATCGTTCGCGGAGTTGAAGATTCTCTTCAAATCGGTCGCCGCCTTCGTGGAGTTTCTTCCGTTGTCGGAGATCAGCTGGGTGCAGGCAGGGAAGGCGGCAAAGAAACGTCGGAGGGCCAAAACTGTCTGCGGAACGCTCAGTGATGGAACTAGTTCGAGATGCACGGCGCGAGTCGCGGGACAGGTGAACAGGGCGACGTAGGTGTCCTGATGAGTGTCTCGGTGCCGAGTCATTAGAGGGCCGCAGAAATCGACACCTGCAGCGGCGAATGGAGCGCGGAGGGTCGTTCTGAAGTCGGGCAGCTGGCCCTCCAACTGTTGAGCGTGCCGTCCCTGGCGGCGGCGACAGGTCACGCATCGATGGAGTATCGTCTCGATGAGTTGTCGGGCTCTCGCCACCCAGAACTTCGGAGATGAGACAAGATGAGAGGCGGAGCGATGCAAGTTTTGACGACGAAGACACGGGTTGACCAGCGCGAACATCGGATATCTCGTGCCGGAAAGTAGACTCCTGAGACTCTCGGACAATGTGCGCCTCGGCGAGCCGGTACATCTCTGCTGTTGAGGGGAGCTCCCGCCGGCGGATGCGGAAGATGAATCGAAGAACGTTAGCCATAGTTCGAATGGCCCTACCAGCAGTGCTGTGTCGGTTGAGATCGATCAATGGCGGGTGGACGACGACGGGAGCAGCGCTTTTCCGTGCCTCGCTGCTGACCTGTTCCAACGAGGAGCCGACAGCCTTGGGTTGCGAAATGGGCTGACTCTCGTGCGGCAGTCTCAGCCAGGTCGGGCCGAACCACCAGTCGGAACAATTGACCAGGGTTTTGGCCGCGATGCCGCGCGTCGCCAGATCGCTGATGTTTGAGGAACCTTCGACGTGGTACAATTCTTCCGGCCTGGAATGCGACTGGATCTCTGAGCAAGTTGGGTGGGTTCACTCCGAAGTCCGATTCGTGAGCGCGCAGAAGAACCTCGGGCTCTCCGTTCGGGCCACCGATACGAATGTTGTATACAGGAACATTTTTCTTGCTGCTGACGCTCTCGTAGCCCTGGATATCGAGATCATGTAGCGCGACCGGAGCCTCTCGGAGCATGGCTCGCAGTGAGGGGGTTACGAACGATAACGAGCTGCCGTTGTCGATGAAGATGCGCACCGGAATCTTGAGTCCGTGGTTCCTTACGTACGCGCAGGCTGTCCACAGGAGAGTGTTTCTCATGGTCGCACTGTAGGCACTAGACACTACGGCGGTAGTTGGCGAGGCAACACTAGGTTCACCCGGGTGCATGGACGTGTAGTGGGAAGTCGACTTACATGTTGCACACGCTGCTCTCGGACCGCTGCAGTCAGATGGTTGAGCATGGGATGACCGGAAACAGGCGAAACATCGCCTCTTGGCGCGAAGAATCTCCCGCCGCTTCTCGAGTGTCAGTTTCGCAGGACACCGGGACGAAGGATGTTCAGGCCGCTCACAAAAAAGGCAGGGCCAAGACTCGCGATTGTATGTTTTCGGCTTCGCGACGGTCGCGGCCACGGTGCTCACTGGTTCACTCTGCCTGCCACCATTCTCACTTGATGAATTCTGGAGTTTGGAGGGGTCTTGCGGCGGGCCGCCCGTGACAGCTAGCGACAGGATTCATCTCCATGAGAACGACGAAATTAAATCACTTCGTTACTGCTAGTCTACGCTAGTGAACGTGTACTCTTTCTCGTAGTGGTGACTCACTACATTGATGACCCGGACGTACACAAAATGAGTCAGGAATCTTTCGAGGACACTCTGGAGGTGCTCCCCACGATGGCGAACCGTGAGTCATACCCGGACACGGTCGGAACCGTGCCTCTGTTCATTGGGGACAGTGCGCTAGGAGCTAAGCAGTGGCTGACCGAACTTGAGCGAGCGCGACGGATGGGCAATTGGTCCTTCGATCGGGTCATGGCGGTGGTTACGACGAAAATGAAGAGAGGAGCGGCAATCTGGCAGAGAACCACGGGAGGGTCGTGTGAAACTTCTGATGAATGGCGGAGTGAATTTTTGGAAGCGTTCGTGCCGGAGGCATGTGGGAGTCAGCTCATGGCGCAGTATATTGCGAGTCGGCAAAATCGCGGAGAATCTATGAAGGAATTCGCAAGGCGGGTGGAGGCGTTAGGACTCGAGGTGAATGCGAGCACGGAGAATATGAAGTACGTGATCCTACGAGGGTTGAGCCCGATGAATAGGCGGTTTGGAGATATCGTGGCTAACACGTATCATAAGACTGTTGAGCTTTAGGTAGAAACTGGAAACTACTAGTCCTCGTTCCGTACTAGGACTATGACTCATACCAACCCACGGGGCCATATACCCGTGACAGTAGTAAAATACGTGAGTCACCGGGGTTGCACCCCGAAGTTACGACTCTAGCATGATACCCCTGAGGTAGTACGAAATTGGGCTAGCACCCCACATGCTGGGTACACCCAATAGTATTCTAGGACGCTACTTATGATAGACCAAGGTAGTCTTATCCTATGTATATGTATGTACGGATCAGGACATGTAAGAAGGAGCTTAGACTCCTGCCTAGGTATAAAAGACCTAAGATTTCGAATAAAAGTGGTATCTGCCTCTCGTGAGATTGCATCTCTGTGTATTCCTGAACGGGCTGCTCTCCTACTCCTGACCAGAGCTACGAATCTTGACCTTCAACAAAGACAATCACGAAATTAATTCATGATCTGGAGAGAGTCGAAGGTGGACTAAGTAGGAATTTCCAGCGTGCGAACTCTTTTCAGTATGAAGAAGGGCGGTATCCGGCACGACAATTTGCGTGTTATCGCTGCGGACACGAGAGGCATCGGGCGGTCGACTGTACGGAGCGGTTTAACCAAGGCGAGACGTCTTGGCGACGCGCAATCCCAATCTCGGCACCGGTGGAGCCCAGACGTGAGGATAGAGGACGTGAGGAATTGCAATATCCGGATCGTATAGAGAGGGAGATACGCGGAATAGCGAGGTAGCTAATCAGAAAGGACGGATGGCGAAGCCTAACACGGCGGAACCTGCGGCGGCTAGAGCGATGGCGAACGTCGGTGCGGTAATCGATCGGCGGAGTGCACGTAGCACGTTGACAACGTGTTACAGGTGCGGTCAGCCAGGTCACTTCTCGCGGAATTGCACTACGGTAGTAGCCGTGGGTGCGGATGATAGCGAAAATGAGGAGATGCTCGAAAGAAACGAAATGTATCATTGTCGGGCATTGAAAAACGTGCTGATCACGGGGCAGCCGTGGACGGCGAAGGTGGATACTGAGGCGGGAGTTAGCATAATATCGGAGGAGGCGGCAGAGAAGTTGAATCTCGAACTGTTGCCGAGTCGTTGCGGAAATATCAACAGCATCAGTGGGGACGCCTGTGTGAAATCGTTGAGCTGCGAGGCGTCAATTTCAATAATATGACCGGAGACTGTGGGTATTCGCGTAATCGGGATAGTGAGCGCGAGCCGGTAAGAAGGAAGACACTTCGCCTTTCGAGGAGTAAATTACGACTGACTGTCTGTCCGTTTATTGTTACGATTTCCGCCAGAGGGCGCTATTGAGTGGGAAAGGAGATTAGAGTATGTTTGAAAAAGGGGCGCGACGCGCTATCACAAAGACACAATATTTTCTACACTGCCTCCCTGGAACGGTTGTTCCAGCACGCTTAATCACTGGTCTGCAGATCCTCCTCCCTGTCCGGCACCTCTAAGGGGATCAACAATTGGGCCGGCCGCCGAGTCTCGAAGCCGTTTGCGAAGCGTATCGAGTAGGTACGCACTGCACCGTCGCGGCCGGGATTTCCCCTGAGGACTCGAACTAGATTCCACTTCGATCTAGAGACGTTATCTTCCTTCAGTAAGCAGACGGTGTTGTCGGCCAAGGGACGCGGTTTCCCCTTACTGTCGAGATTAGCTGATCTCAGCAGCAGTATGTATTCTCGATGCCAGCGTTGTGACAAAGAACGGAAATAGCTTGTCCTCTGGAGAAGTCTTTGACGAAGATCGTCGGCCTCCGGCGGTCCGGATCTGACCGCACCATTGGGTCCCAACTCATCCAGACTCGTTACGGAGCACAAAGGATCGTACGGAGGACCGCCCCTGAGGAACAGGTTCGGGGTGATGGCCCGCGGCTCCTGTAGATCTGACGATGTATACGACAAGGGCCGGCTGTTGATAGTGGCGCCCAACTCGCAGAGTATCGTCCGAAGCTCTTCCGCGCTGATCAGACTCCGACCAAGGGTTTTCGTCAATGCATTCTTTGTCACTCCAATGAGGCGTTCGAATAACCCTCCACGCCATGGGCTTCGAGGACAACTGAAAGTCCACTCGATCCGATGCTGGGCCAACACTTCTCTGACCCTCGGGTCTCGGAACGAATTAAACAAGCGGCGGATATCTGCCGCTGCGCGGACGAACGACCTCCCATTATCGGACAGGATGGACCGACACGCCGGGTAATCCGCCAGGAAACGGCGCAGAGCCAGATGGGTTTGCAATGCGGACAAATCCTCAACTAACTCAAGCCTAACCGCTCGTATACTGAAGCACGTGAATAGGGCGATGTACGTCTTGCTGACACCCTGGCGGCTTCGGGTATAGAAGGGGCCACAGAAGTCGACTGCGGTGACGGCAAACGGAGCTCCGATAGAGACGCGCTCCGCCGGTAGGGCGGCCTGAGTCTGGTCGGCAGTGGGACCGTGAGTCCGTCGACAAACGACGCAGCCGCGGAGAATCTTCTTTATCACTTGACGTCCCCTAAGGATCCAGAATCGTCGCCGTAGACTATTCATGACTGCATTCACTCCGAGATGGGCATTGGTTCTATGATAATGCAAGATCAAGAGGATGGCAAGGCGACTGTTGATAGGAATGATTATAGGTGTTTTCTCATCGTGCGTGAAATGAGGCCCCAGGGTGAGTCGGGTTTGCGCTCGAAGTACCCCATTCTCATCCAGAAGAAGCCTATAAGAGCTCAACTTTGACGATCGGATAGGCCGCTCTCCGCTCATCGTTGAGCCGATCTCCGCCGCAAAGAACTCAGTCTGGGTCGAGCGAATGATGAACAGCTCGGCACGTCGCCTCAGCTCACCCTCCGCGAATCCGGATCGACGACGGCAACCCTCCGCGAAACGAAAGATGTTTGCGACCACTCGGACAGCTTTTTCCCAGCTACTGAAACGTCCAAGATCAACCATCGGCGGTGTCGCGACTACGGGCGTGACAACTAGGCGGAGTTCTGAACTACCAGGCTCCGAATCGTCACTACCACTCCGCAGACGCTTCACCGGACGGTCTCTCTCCGGTCCGCTCAGCCAGGACGGGCCTTGCCACCAGTCCGAATTCGCCAAGAGTTCCCTGACTGAGGAACCCCGCGAGGCAACATCAGCGATGTTCCGCCTCCCGTCGACATGGAACCACTCGGTTGGCGATGTGAGTTGTTGTATCTCGAGCACGCGGTTGTGCACAAAGGTTTTCCATCTCGACGGCTCCTTCGAGACGCACCAGAAAAAGGCCACGGCCGAATCGGTATAATGCGTGATCCGATCGATCCTCAATCCGATTCTCTCGACGACGAAAGATCGGAGTCGAGCGGCCAGAAGTGCTGCCATCAGCTCCAGGCGCGGCAGCGTCACCTTGTTTTTCGGGGCGATTCGGGATTTAGCAATTACCAGCGCGTACGTACTGCCTCCGTCCGAGTACAACGTCTGAAGATAGGCGGTCGCAGCATAGGCGCGCTCGCTAGCATCTCCAAACACATGTAATTGGTGACCGATGATTTCGCGCCCAGGTTCTTGGTACAAGCGGCGAATATGTATTTGGTTTAACATTGGAATTTCCTCCGTCCATCTCTCGAACTCTCTACGGAGAGGGTCGGACACCACGTCATCCCAACGGAGCGACTCTGTCCACAGTTGTTGAATCAGCAGTTTTCCGCGAAGAGTGAATGGGATGAGCCATCCCACTGGGTCGAAGATTGACGCCACGATTCGCAGTACGTTGCGCTTCGTGGTCTTTTTCATGTCGCTGGTTGACCTGATGATCTCCTTCATCTGGAACTGGAACTCATCTCCGGAGGGATCCCACGCGATGCCTAGTACCTTTAGGAGTCCGGACTCCAACGGGGTCGGGGTCGCTGCTGGGGTGTCTGAGGACCCCACATGGTTCAGTACCCGAGTCGCGTTGGATTTCCATTTTCCCAGCTGCATATTCGCGGACTTCATCCAGGGGATCAGCTGATTGATGAATTGAATCGCCTCTCGCTCCGAGTTGAAGCTCTTGAGCATATCGTCGAAGTAGAACGCGTCGCCGAGCTCCAGGTTCGAGTCGGGGTCGACCCGTCGAAAATGTTCCCTTAGCACCGCTGCGAGTAGGAATCCGCTTGGGGTAGCCCCCCAGGTAACGCGTCGCATCTGATAGCAACTGACTCGATCGTCGCCGGGGCCCTGCCAGAGGTAGCGGAAGTATGGTCGATCCTCTGGGGCAAGATCTATGGTCATATACGCGTGCGCCACGTCCGCTGAGAGGGCCACTGGTTTCAAACGGAAGTTTATCAGCAATTTGAGGATGTCTGGGTTCAAGTTCGGCCCAACCGGTAAGTGCGAGTTGAGCGATCCCTCCCCCGGAGCCGACGCCGAACAATCAAACACTATACGCCACTTTTCGCCCGTGGCTCGCTGCGTGACGATCTGTCGGTGTGGCATATAGAAACAACCATCACGAGCACTTGGAGAACCGACATCCGCGTCGTCTATTATCTCTGCGTGACCAGCTCGATAGAACTCCATAATTTCGGAATCATATCGCGAGAATGCATTGGGGTCATGTGACAGAGCGCGACGCCTGGCGTTCAGCCGATTCCTCGCAACCTCCAGGTTGTTAGCCAATTGTGCGATGGTTCCCCGCTTCGGCATAGCGACCATATATCGATGACCATCGTAGGACACGCTTTTCTTGAACTGTGCCATGGCGTTCGACTCGGCCGCGTTGAGCTCGTCATTCCCTTGTTCATTCTCTCCAACAGCTTCGATGGTCCAGAGTCGCTCCAGGTCTCGTGCAGGTTGCGATAATGTAGCGGCGCAACAAACTGGGTGTACTGACGCGATATCTCCCCTCGTCGTCTTCGGGCCGAAGGACCCAGCAACGATCCAGCCGAATATTGATGATTTACCGATCAATCCTCCCCCGATGGCCGTCTCCCGGTTCAGGTGTACGATTTTATACATCTGATCTATTCCGATAAGAAGGTCCGGCTGCACATCGAGACGCGGATCGACCAGCGACAGATCCGCCAATTGGTGAGTTTGCCCGAATTTTTGTATGATTTGGCGCATCTCCGGAGTGCAGTTCGACGGAGGGTCCACGTTGAAGTTATATTCGTGTACGGTAAGGATGATGGACTCCGCGGTCTCATGGGCACTACCCAGCTTGATGGCGTACCGATCGGCGGTGAGGAGGTGCTCACTCGTGAATCCCTGTAAGTTGAGCTGGACTCGGTCCCTCGGACGGATACCGGACAATCGTTGGATCAGTCGCGGCGTTGCGAACGTAATCATAGAGCCACTATCGAGGAAACAGCGCACCGGGATCTCGGCGTTATCGTATAAGACGAGCGCCGATGCTGTCATTACGACCGCCCGATTGATGGCAGCCGCGGCGACGGTCTGCGTTATGCTTGCGGCCGTCTGAGCCTGTTGATGCATCGATGTGTAATGCGCACTGCTATTACACGTCTTGCAGGCCTCCCTCGGACCAGCGCACACTCGTGGGGGAGTGTGCTCGAACTGGAAGCAGGTCGAACATCGACGGCGCTGTTGGAGGATTTGGCGGCGTCGCTCTGGGGGGATGTCTGCTGAGCACATCGACGGCAAGTGTCCACTGCCGTTACAGAAGAAGCAGTACAAACCACGAGCCTTGCCCTGCCTTCGACGGGAGCTACTGCCGGCGGCAGCAGCCACGGTGGAGCGAAACTGCTTCCGGGGTGGACACCTTGGCGACTCGATGGACTGGCCGTGTCTACGATTGATGCACGACCGTCCGTCGAAATCACCCACTGTACCCGTGAGACGTGAGTCCCCCGTTGCGAGTCTTTCGCGGAGTTCCGTATACTTGCGCAGGTATTGAAGCAACCGCTCCAAGCGTTTTGTCGCAGAGAGCGCCTGATCCGTGCACGGGTCGTCGACCGCGCCCTCCGTCATGAGATGGTGTTCCTCGAACGTCAACAGGAGACTCACAGGAAGTGCTCTACGAATAGTTTGCTCGTAGGGCAATGCGATGCTTCGGAGTGGTACCTGCACTGCCTCCAGAGCGAGTATAGTACGTTGGGTTACGTTAAGGAGCTCGCGCAGTCCAGCAGTGTCGTTCTGATTCCGAACTTGAGGTACACTACTAACACTAGCGAGCACGTCTCGCTGCCGCATCTCGGGGATATCGTAATTCTCATCAAGCAACCTCAACGCTACGTCGTAGTTGTCGTCGGTGAGCGGGAGCTCGCGTATAAGGCTCTTCGGGGGTCCGTCCAATAGTTTGCTGAGCGCGACAAGTTTGTCGCTCCCGGTGGCTTCGGTCCGTCGGCGGACGTAATTGACGAACTGAGCTCTCCATAACTTGTATCGATGGATTTTCCCATCGAATACCTCCGGAGTCGTATCCAAATACAGCTTGGAGTTGGCACACACGCTCGATGTTACTGGTCCAGCTGGTCTTGCTGTCACAACAATGGCACTGTTTTGATCGGGTGCCAACAACATGGCGTTCCGCTCGGGTGTATCCGATGTGCGAGTGTCGTTGTCGGCGGCATTCGTAACCGGGATGACGTCACCACCTTTCGGGTCTCTTGAGTCGGCGGCGACAGAGATCGCAGGCGATGGTGATGGAGATACGGAAATGCCTGGAGGTGCCGGAGGACTTTCTTTCCTCAACTGAAGCATCTCTAAGGCGTCGATAACTGCCTTCGCGGCGATCGTGGTTTCGATGACATCGTCGGCCTCCCTCGTTTCTCTTTCCGCTTCCTCTTCCGGGAGCTCCGGATGCCGACAGATCTGGTCCACGAGTTGACGAATCAAGGCGATCCGCTCTTCGACGCGGGCCTTTACTGTCAAAAACTCCAGGCGATTGGAGTCTGAGATTTGCTCGAACGTTTGACTCCTCTCGAGGTCCGTTTGCAATGAGTTCCTTGCGCGTGTCCTCCGTCCACGAAGAACGGCGAGGCTCTGTAGCATGTTCACAGCCCGATTTTGCGGAGGCGAATGCTCGACAGCCATCCCGGTCACGGCACCAATGTGAAATCGTTGAGCTGCGAGGCGTCAATTTCAATAATATGACCGGAGACTGTGGGTATTCGCGTAATCGGGATAGTGAGCGCGAGCCGGTAAGAAGGAAGACACTTCGCCTTTCGAGGAGTAAATTACGACTGACTGTCTGTCCGTTTATTGTTACGATTTCCGCCAGAGGGCGCTATTGAGTGGGAAAGGAGATTAGAGTATGTTTGAAAAAGGGGCGCGACGCGCTATCACAAAGACACAATATTTTCCACAGCCTGCAAGCCAGTAGGTAGGGCGGTGGTACAGCTGGGAGTTGACGGTCTTCGCATCGAAAATGTCAATTTGACGGTATTACCCCGCGGTTCATGGAGGCGAAGTGAGGTACTTCTGGGAAAGGATTTGATCAACGAGGGTTTGGTATCAATCTTTTATGGCGGTTTCTCGTGGTTGTTGCAGAAGAGGTCGTTCGCGAAAATCGCGGAGGAATCACCCCCGGGAGATCCTAAGGTGGATTTCATATTCAGAACGGAGGGGAAAATCGAGAAAGAGGAGGATCGAGATGAGACAACGAAGGTAGAGCTTAGGGTGAGAGAGAACGTTAAAATCCAGCCGAGATCGATAGGCATGGTAGATACTAAAGTGGCGGATATGGAAGATGGTATCATAAGCGTATGCAGCGGATCGACGGTCGATGTACTATTGACGGTTTTAGATAAGGCGGTAAGGGTTCCATTAATAAATCACAAGAACGAAACGGTCAGTCTAAAACCAGGGACGGTCATTGCGCGAGGGCAGAGGGTCTCGGATAAGCGCGACGAATATTATGACGTCATTCGAGGGGGACTTGTTGGAAGTGGTACAGCGGAATCCGAGAGGCGTAGTCTTAAGTTGGAGGACGTAACGATTAACGAAGCGGTACCGCGTAAATTCAAGTTTTTGTTACTGGAGTTACTTAACAAGTATCGGATGGTAATCGCGACAACCATGGGTCGGACTAAGTGGACGGAGTTCACGATCAATGAACTTCCCGGAAGCGCGCCGGTTCGATGCAAGCCATTTCGATTGTCGATGACGGAGAGAGAGGCCTTGGAGGAAATTTTGGATCAGATGTCGGAAGCCGGAATGATAGAACCTTCAAGTTCGCCGTATGCGAGTCCGGTGATGTTGGTAAAGAAATCGGACGGAAGCTGGAGAATGGTGGTTGATTATAGGCGATTGAATGCGCAGACGATGAAAGTAAATTATCCGGTCCCATTAATTGATGACATCTTAGATGAAGTCGGGGGTAGGAGATTTTACTCAACGTTTGATTTAGCGTGGGGGTATTTCCAAATTCCCATGGCGAAAGAGGCGGCTCAGAAGGCGGCGTTTGTCACGCCCGACGGTCATTATCAGCCTACAGTCATGATGATGGGACTGTCCGGGGCGCCGAGTTGCTTCCAGGAGCTTATGATGAAGGTCCGTGAAGAAGGCGGGGGAAATCAAGTTCACCCTTTCCTGGATGATCTCATCACGGCGGCAGACGATTACCGAGAGCATCTGAGACAAATCGAGGCGGTTTTGATGGCGTTGAGAGAAGCGGGACTGACGATGAGGTTGAGTAAATGCAAGTTTTTCATGGAGACGGTAGAATTTCTGGGATTCAGAGTGTCGGTGGAAGGGGTTCGACCAGGTACTAGGAAACTAGCGGCAGTCGAAGAATTTCCAAGACCAAAGAACGTACACGAAGTGAGAAGGTGGTTGGGATTGACGAGTTTCTTCAGGCGCTTTGTTAAAGGTTATGCGTCTATAGCGGGTCCGTTGACAGCGTTACTCAGGAAGGAAGCTAAATTCGAATGGAATTCGAGAGCAGAAGAGGCGTTCACTGTAAAGTTCTTGTTTTATCTCTCTAAAGATAATTCACGTGCCGGCTGCCTGGTAGCTGTCGAGTACTGACTGACGTCATTTATTGTATTGTTATGATCTCGTGGCAGACGCTAGAAGCTTGAATAAGGGGCGGGTATTACATCTCCCCTTTGAAGTCGAAGTCATGTACATGTTTCGCAATCTATATTATCCGATTAATTTACATCTCGAGCGTGAATAGTTTGTGCGATTATTGATATCTTAGGGTCGGTTTCGGTACCCGCTTGCTTCTCTGGAGTGGGGGTGTCGATTGTGGGTCGTCATCGTATTCATCTAAGGTTTCATGATCATGAGATGGACCTGCATTTACCGGTGGGACTTTTCCTTCGACTTTCTCCATCTGCGGGGAGCTTGACGGGGTTTCAAAATCATCTTCTGTCTCGGGAGTGGGGTCCGCCACCGGATTTATCATCGTTCTATCTCTTCTTGACAAAGTTTCTGTTTCAGTGTCTTGTATCACGTAGGATCGTGGCTGAGGGAGAACTGTCACAATCGTCCCCCTCCTCCAGTGGTTCTCTTCCGGGTCTTTCACTCGCACTTTCTGCCCCTCGAAGAGAGGTGATTTATCTCTGCTTTGCCTGTCGTAATATCTTTTCTGCTTTTCGCGTTCTCGCTCAAGCTGTACGGTGACTCGCTCAGGTGGGATTATTCGGGGTCGTAAGTTCGAAGGATGGATAGGAAGAAGCGTTCTATTCGTTCTTCCCATCAGGCGCTGATTTGGGGAGCCCAACTCTTTACTCCTTGGCGTGTTTCGGTGCTCCAAAAGCGCCATGTGGAAGGCTCGAGACCGGTATTCGTATTTTCTGAGGAGTTCCTTTGCTTCTTGCACTGCTCTTTCTGCCAGGGCGTTACCCAGCGGATGGTACGGACTGGATGTTGACGTCTCCACTCCGAGCTCTCTCAACGTCATCCTGAACTCATGGGCTGCAAACTGTGGCCCATTGTCCGATTTCACTAATCTCGGGAGTCCAAAACGCTGAAAGACCTCGTAGAGAGCTTCGAGGATCGCCTTTGTTGTTGTCCTTTTCATCCGGATAATTTCGAAGAAGAAGCTGTATGCATCTGTCACTATCAGATAGTCTTGTCCTTCGCAGCTGAATAAATCCATGTATACGATTTCCCATGGGAGATCTGGAATCTCGCTTATCAGCATCGGCATTTTCGTGTTCGCTCTCTTTTGAGATTGGCACAGATCGCACTGGCGTACAAATTCCTCGATCTCAACATTGATCGAGGGCCAGTAGACTGCGTCTCGGGCACGTAGCTTCATTTTCGTTGATCCGCAGTGTGCACCGTGTAGCTGCTTCAAGACTTCTTTCCTTCTGCTGCTTGGGATGATGATTCTGTTCGACCTCATCACCAGACCCATTTCGACGTGGATTTCATCTCTATAAGGCCAATACTTTTGAGCGACCCCTGGAAGTTTGGTTTTGTCTTTTGGCCAACCGCTCTTATACAGCTCCGTGAGTACGACGAGCTCATCATCTGTTCTCGTTGCCTTTGCAAATTCTTCGAGTCTATGGTCTTTGATGGCAATCTTGCCGATGATACAGAAGCGTGCACTGTCCTCGGCCGTCTGTGCGATTGGGTTTCGTGAGAGGAAGTCGGCCATGATCAGTTCCTTGCCCGGCCTGTAGACGACCTGTATGTCGTACCGTTGGAGGACCATTCGCATCTTCTGTAAACGCAGCGGAACCTGATTGAGCGGTTTTCTCATGATTGCTTCGAGCGGCTTGTGATCAGATTCTACTCGCATTTCTTTCTGTCCCAACACGTAGTAATGAAATTTCTCGCATCCAAAAACGATCGCGAGTAGTTCTTTTTCTATTTGTGCGTATCGTTGTTGCGTTTCGTTGAGGGATCGGCTGGCATACGCAACCGGATGACCTTCTTGAGTGAGGACTGCCCCTAAACCGTATTGAGAGGCATCTACAGCGAGTGAGACGGGCCTATCCGGACGGAAGAACTTGAGCACCGGCGCCTGAACTATCATCATCTTGAGCTTCTCGAAGGCTTTTTCATGACGGGGTTCCCATGTGAACACGATATTCTTCGACAGGAGCTCTCTAAGTGGTGCAGTTTCGTCTGAAAATCTTGGGATGAAGTTAGAGACAAAGTTCAACATCCCCAAGAACTTCTGGACATCTTTTACGCTCTTCGGAGTCTCCACTCGGCATATGTCATCAATCCTCTGCCTGTCAATACTCAGTCTTTTTTTCGAAATTGTGTGTCCCAAGTATTTTACGGCTCACCTTCCGATTTTGCATTTTGTCTCGTTGAGGACCATTCCCGCCGAAACGCTACGCTGAAGAACTTTCTTCAGACGTTCGTCATGCTCGTCTTTCGTCGCACCCCATACTAGTATGTCGTCGACCACCGCACTGACTCCTTCAATGTCTTTGAAGAGTTCATCGGTTAGCCTTTGGAAGACGTCCGACGCGCACACGATTCCATAGGGCATCTTGAGGAAACGAAATCTTCCCCAAGGCGTGGTGAATGTACAGAGACGAGAGCTTTTGCTGTCTAGTCTCACCTGCCAGAATCCTTCGTCAGCGTCTAGTGTAGAGAAGAACTCCGCTCCCGCCAATTTCGACGATATCTGTTCGATGCGCTTTGTCGGGTGTGGCCCTCTCTTGATGGCTTTATTGAGGTGCGTTGGATCCAGACACACTCGGATTTTTCCGTTTGCCTTTTGAACGATGGTGAAATTTGAGACGAATTCGGTGTGTTCCTCAACCGGGAGGATCACCCCTTTTTTGAGCATTCGTTCAAGCTCCACTTTCACGGCATCTTCATATTTTACCGGGACTGGCCGGCAAGGGCTGATGACTGCTTTGTAATCGCTCCTCAGCTGTATTGAGCATTGGAAGTTCTTTATGTTGCCGTATCCTTCGAACGCCTTTGGAAATAGCTTCTTCCACCTTCCCAGCTCCAGGTCTTCTTGGTTTATCGATTTGATTCGTTTAATGAGTTTGAGGGATTCGGCGGCGTCTCCGGATATTGTCGGCGTCACTGGAGCATCTACAACGTAGAATCGCTCTTCGATCGTGTTACCCTTGAACGATACCGGCACCACCACGATCTCGCGACACTTG